TTTTGCAAATTAATTTGTAATGCAGTTTTAATACAGAAAAAAGGTAAGTGCAACAAATTTTGGGATTCTTAAGTGATTGTTTTAAAAAGTTTAAATTAGAGTGATATTAAACCATACATTTTGAAGCAAGAGTTATAAAATCCGTGGAGCCATAAAAAAGGTGATTCGATGAAACGTAATCTGTAAACATATTACAGTGGAAATTCGTCTGATTGCAAAACGTTAAAGAAGCGCCACAAGTGGCTGCAGCGATAGACGCTATTGCAACACATGGAAGTGATTTTTGGTAGTTTAACTTTAATAAGGAGGTCCTTGTGAATTTAATTGATACCAAAGACGGTTTTTGAAACCTCATAAGAGAAATTATTGGTGAGCGACATACAAAGCAAGCGTATATCAGCGGCCAGGCACAATTTCCAACCCACAAAATTAGTGCTTGCGGCGCGACCATGGAGGAAGTGGACGATGAAACATTCGACGATGCCAAATCCACGCGCACCTCAGATGAGAATCGCAAGTAAGTTTCATTAAAAAAAAACTAATAACTGAGAAATATTGCATCCTAACACCTTTTATTTTCATATTTGCAGGCAAAACCACAGTGAGATTGAGAAGCGTCGTCGCGACAAAATGAATACCTATATAAATGAGCTGTCATCCATGATACCCATGTGCTATGCAATGCATCGGAAGTTAGACAAGCTAACAGTACTTAAATACACAGGTCAGATATAGATGCATACAGTGTCGTAGCGCTAAGGAAAGCTTTACTCATATAGTATTCCTGCTTAGTAGTTTATAATTGCATTCTCACTTTTGCTTTTTTTTCAACTGACTTGCAGTGCAACACCTGCGTGGCATACGCGGCAGCGTGCATCCATATAGTGGCGGCGATTATAAGCCCTCTTTTCTATCGGATCAGGAACTTAAAATGCTTATACTCCAAGCATCCGAGGGATTTCTCTTCGTGGTGGATTGTGATCGCGGACGCATTCTATATGTTTCCGAATCAGTGTCGCAAGTGCTAAATTGTTCGCAAATGGATTTACTCGGGCAAAGTTGGTTTGATATTTTGCATCCAAAGGATGTGGCTAAAGTAAAGGAACAGCTTTCTTCGTTGGATCCATGCCCGCGGGAACGCCTAATTGATGCTAAAAGTAAGTGTAAAATTTAGATTTAAATTGCTACAAAAGTATTTACAACAAATCTTATAATTGCCTCTACTTAACCATATTTTTCTTTCTCCAGCCATGCTACCCGTCAAAAACGACATTCCACAAAGTCTTTGCCGCCTCTGTCCGGGCGCGCGTCGTTCTTTCTTTTGTCGCATGAAACTCAAATCAAATAACAACCAGATAAAAGAAGAATCAGACACATCCTCGAGCTCACGCAGTTCTACAAAGCGCAAATCTAAGCTAAGTGTTGATCATAAATATCGTGTTATACAATGTACTGGTTATTTGAAGTCATGGACGCCAATAAAAAACGAAGATCAAGATAGCGAGAGTGAAGATAATCTGACGAATCATTCCAGTTTAGTGGCTATTGGACGAATACCGCCGAATGTTTTGGAATCAAATGTGCCACCATCATTGGACAACCATCCTAACATTAGGCATGTGCTATTCATCTCAAGACACTCCGTGGATGGCAAATTTTTATTCATTGATCAAAGGTACACAAAGGCAAACGTTTTTGGGTAGCATAATTTATTTAAAGAATTGCATTTTCTTTTAGAGCCACAATCGTCATTGGTTTCTTGCCACAAGAAATGCTTGGCACCAGCTTTTACGATTACTTTCATCATGAGGATATTCCTGCATTGGCGGAGTCACATAAAATGGTCATTCAAGTGCCGGAAAAGGTAACCACGCAGGTTTATCGTTTTCGCTGCAAGGACAGTAGTTTCATACAACTGCAGAGTGAATGGAAGGCTTTCAAAAATCCTTGGACAACTGATATTGAATATATAATTGCGAAAAATACGGTTTTCCTCTGAATACTTCTCCGGCGGCTATGCTATTTATACGTAGAGTGAATATTTCGTAATCTAATGGAAACGACTTAAAAGTTTACTTTTATACACATACTAGTGTGTTATATAAGTATGTATTTTCATATTAGATTTAAGTTCAGCTCGTAAATATTTTGCATAAATTCATACAAAGATGCTCCAGCGGAGGTTCGCAAATAAAAATTCATCCTTTACACATTCTTGTATGTATAAGAAAGAAAAATTACGTACAAACAATATTTTTTTTAAATCTAATTTGGATTTGATTGCAGCCTAGTAAGGGTATAAAATGCCCGTTGTTGTTGTAGAGGCCCTGTCTCAGCTAGCTAGTTGTTGTTATTGTTGTTGTTGTAGCGGCTACAACAACCCCGCCCTGATCGGTTGATATCTCAGTCGCTGTCGTCAAGTTCCACTAACTGTCTGTGGCTTCGTCCACTGCGTCCTACTAGTCCCCGGCGACCACACTGGTGCTGCGTAGTTTAAAACCGGCCGGCCTATTGCGTTCCCACGACAGCCGGTTCTACGTACCGGAATGACTCGGGTTTTACCCGACCAAGGGCTGTTGTTTCGGCGATCTAACCCCGTTTAGGTCGGCGAAGTATCTCTGGACTAGCTAGTCTCTCAATTTTGTTGTTGTTGTTGTTCCTGTTGTTCCAACAGAACATTTTTTAGAGAAGTTGCTGGAGTAACAGTCCTTGGTCAGATATAAATCTGGGTCCTTCCAATTACGTAGACCCGACTGTCGTGGGAACTTTGTCCTCGAGGTCAATTAATGATAGGTCCCGGAAACGCGTTGCTTTGATCGTGTCGGACAAAGTGTTATTAACTTAGTGCGCTTAACGGGGCTTGTGAAGAGGTGTTTAGTCTCATTGAGTTTGTAGCAATGCTCAACCCCCTACTGACCACTTCAAGTGGTGTCCTCCTCATCCCCTGACTCTACAAACCTGAGGCCGAAAAAGCGGGCGACGTCGATGGGTGCAGCCCATAATGCTTTCGAAGTCAGGGCTCTCGTGTTAGGTTTAAGCGAAGAGGAGTAGGTTTTGTGAGGACCTTGCCCTCGTCCGGCCAGATGTTGCCCTTTTGAGTTCAGCAGAGAGAGGAAGCTGTGATTACTTTGGTGCTTTACAGTACTTAGCTGTCTTACTTGTTGTAGCGGCTACAATAACTCCGCCCAGATCGGTTAATATCTCACTCGTTTTCGTCAAGCTCTACTAACGGAGGCCCTAAGAAGCATGCATCCTCAATCGGGTCGGTGCATAGAGACAAAGGCGTTAGTGTTGTCGGGTTTTCCGGGCATACTAAGAGATGTTTCGAGTCGTGGGGTATCTCCGCATTTCGGACACTCATTTGGCACATCTGCGTCTAGTCTGCTAAGGTATGAGTTTAACCTGCTGCAGTAGCTAGAGAGAAGTTGGGCTATTGTGGTTGGGTCCGGTGGTTCTGTGGCTAGAACGGCATTCACAGGTCGTCTAAATAACTCGAGACTGACTCCCTGTGAATGGCGTTCAGGGCCTGTGGATATGCTGACGGATCCAGAGGTTGGTTAATGAACCTCTGGACTTCGCCCATCAGTTCGTAGAGATGCCTCCTGATGTGCCTGGACGAGGGCTCTTCTGCAAGCAGTTGTCTATTTGGGTGACCACGTCTGGGGCTCCCAACTAGAAACTGCTGGCAGAGTATTGTGTTGTGGTCCTTTATAGGGAGCATTTTCACCTCGTAGTGCAGATGGTGTTTTGGCGACATCAGGAGGCATCCAGTCCCTGTCCGAAGTGCAGTGCTTTGTGTGGTCTGCAGCTTCATCCACTGCGTCCTACTAGCCCCCGGCGACCACACTGGTGCTGTGTAATTTAAAACCAGCCGGCCTATTGACTTGTATGTTGCCACCAACGTTTCTTTGCCTTTGTCCCAAGTACTGCCGGCTAGAGACTTGAGGAACTTGTTGAGGCTCTATACTTTGTTGACAATGGCGGTTGCGTACGAAGAGAAGGAGAGCAGACTGTCGCAGGTTACTCCGAGTATTTTCGGGTTATTAACCGTCGGAATTGGTATGTCATCAACGTAGTCTGACCTCTTTCGACCAGGTGGTAAATAGGGTAGCCGAGGATTTTCTAGAGGAAGGTTGGCTCCTGGCAGTGAAGTAGCGAGAAATCTCGGAGAGGTGTTGGTTGAGGGAGCTTGGAAATATAGTAGTTAAACAGTAATGGGGAAAGGACACCACCCTGTGGAACCCCCTGTTTTATTTTTCGAGGTTTGCTCGATTTGTCTCTAAACATTACTGATGAGTGTCGACCACTCAGATAATTCGCCGACCACCGTTTGAGCCTCTGTGGGAGAGAGGAGGCCTCTATGTCTTCTAGCAGCCTTGAATGGCTGACAGTGTCGTACGCCTTAGACAGGTCCACTGCTACTAGAATGGTTCTCTCACAGGGACGGTGTCGGTTAAGGCCACGACGCTTGGCTTTGTCCACCGGAGGATGCAATATGAACTGCCGGCTAAAATCTTTCTCGCACGCTGTTCACTCTTACCCCTCTTCGGGTGCGCCCAAGATCTGCTTACCCGTTCTGATAACTATCTGAAATCAGAAGCCAGACCAAATCTATTCTTCAGATATATATGTATATATATGTATACATATGTATGTACTTGAACACATCAAGTATTCAAAACACATTACCCCCAAAATAATCAAAACAACAAGCCAGCTAGTCAAACATCAAATGTGGAGTGTGCCGCATCCAAAGCATGAGACCGGCATACATACTTACATACATTTAAAAAATCGCCGGTAGTCGAGTTAACAAAAGAAAAAATAAATAAAACACACATTCAAAATCCTATACAATGCGAATACAATGAGTAACAACAACAACACTAAATAATAACAATAAAGAAATTATCGACTTTTTCGTTCGAGCGCTCTACAGCTTGATAGCCACAGCGGCAGGCCGGTGACGATCAGTTTTAGCTGAGTTATCGGTGCGACAAGACGGAAACCCAAAAACGGGCTGGCACTGCTGTTGGCGCACATTTCTTTGCTTAGAAATAAAGCAACAAAAACAAAAACGAATACTTATTTATTAAAATTTAATAGCATTAATTAAGACATTACTGATTTGTGGTTATAAATTAAGAAAAAAAGTGTTGATCGCTCGCGCTTGCTTACGTAACTGGCAAGTGATCGGAAGAAAACGGTTTACGAATTTTGACAAAAAAATACGTAGAATAGATTTTTCCTAGAAGCTTCAGAAAATGAGCACGCTGCTGTTCCTGGTTGCCACGGTGGTGGTCTATGTGCTGCACTCACTGATCCGGTCGCTTAAACGTCCGCCAAATTTTCCACCAGGTAAGAAGGCGCGAGTGATGATTGGGTATTTTTTTTTAATAAATCTACATTATTATTAGTGAGTGAAGTAGTGAACTTAAAAGGATGTGTGTTTCACTAGAAGTGGCAATAGTTTTCGGAACTTTCCGTACACCCATCTATCACTGGTATCCTGGCGAGGGCGGTCCATAAATAACTGTGTGGGTCGCCGATCTTAGGCATGACTCGGACTTAGCTACAGCCGAGCTAATGACGTTAACGGCCGGAATCTTATGTTTTCTTCTGATACACGGGACAGTAGCTCTACTTTAGATTCGTTAAGACACACTTCTCGCACTCCGAACTCTGGGACAAGTAGTCTAAGGACCGTTTCCTCTCAAAACGTTTCGTTTGTTCTCAGAAAATATGTTTGAAGGGCAGATAAATTTAAAAACTGCTTGAGAAAACGGCCCTAAGTGTTTTCTTTCTTGGTTTGAGGAGGTATGGCGCAAGAGAATGAAACCTAGCCGTCGATCGCAAAGCATTTTCACTGACGGCTCTAAAATTATAACGGGAGGGGTGCCGGGGTATATTGCCGGGAACTGAACGTCAGGTGGGAAGAAAGGTTACCTGACCAGTGCAGGATATTTCAATCAAAGGTTCTCGTTATGAGCACAGCAACAGAGCTAGTCTACATTGAAACGAAAATCGACTTAAAAATAGACTTATACGTAGACAGTCAAGTGGCAATTAAGGCGGTCACCTCATATAGTATTTCATTGAAAAACATCCTGCGCAACCGGGAAGCCATTAACAGGCTGGCCGCAAACAGAATGCTGCATATCTATTAGCCACAAAGAAATATACGGCAATGAAATAGCAGATAATACTGGCAAGAGCGCGACCAGTCTGACTCTCGAACGAACAAAGTGCATTCATAGACAACTCCAACACTTGTTCCGGTCTGGATGGAAAGAGTTAACCACCTGCAAAACGCCAAAAATTATGTGCAAAAATAGCAAACATAATTATACTCGCTTCTTTTTTCGGCTATCAATGAAGGATTACAGACATTGTTACCGGATTGCTTATGGAAAATATCCCGCAAAGCCAATTTCAAAAAGGTGCCACACGAATTGCTAAAGCGGATGAACAAAAGGGCTGCAAGGCGGTTATGCAATCCCTACAATTTCATGAAATATGGAGCCAGTTTGCCCGACGACGTAGTATCAGATATGGTATTCTGCCACATAGCCACAAAAGTCGTATAAACTCGCAAACTCTTATATTCCAGGCCGAGAACTATGCTGCTACTAAAAAAAACTGCATCGACAATGAGAAATTTAAATTAAATTAAATGACTGAGTAGAGACAGGATACGTCAACCGACATTACCCTCTGTGTGCGAGAGAAATGAGGGATGAAAGCAAATGAAATCCACCCTTCTTTTAATTACTTAAGAATTTAACTGAATATTTTATCACAAAGGGGACGGACGTACAAATATACGCTGACTCCGAACGGCGATGCTATTTTTGTGAGAAGCTATTTTTCACTTCAGAAATACACTCTGAGGTTTGCCATTGCCCGCCGAGAGCAGCCGCTATTAGAAAAAAAAACTTTTGTTGTTGCTGGTGCCAGTCAGAAACTGAGCTCGATCCGCGACCTTGCAGAATTGTAGTGCGCACCTGTGACCACTACTAATTTTGCTACATTAGCTCAGTTTTCTATCCTTTGCGGCAGGATATTGCAGACCTGAACAAATATCTGAGTACCAATCCACCAACTATGAAAGGCTCAATGAATGTAAGAGTAAACGTCGCCAGAACTTTGACAAAAGTATATACTTTGAGGTTTGCTACTAATATTTAGTAATAGTTGGTTGATTAAGTAGTTGGTTTATGTGACGGTTAAAAGAAGGTTAGGTTTGGTTGGGTCCTTTGCTATATATACCGCATTTATCCCCGTTCCACTGTAAACCATTTGGTGCTTAGCAAAAAAGCGCAAACGCTTCTAACATCCATCGACATTATCGAATAAATATGTAACTGCCAAGAGCTTTTGCTCTCCGTTTTTTTGGAGAGCCGGGCAATAGCAGAGAAGATGTTGGATGGTTTCTTCTTCGTCCTTAGCTAAAGCTGGTCTTTGCTTCTCTATGGCGTAGTCATTTTCTGGCCAGCGCGTTTTGGCAATATGACAGTTCGGTTCCATTTGTCCTCTTTCATTGCTAATTTCTATGAATTTTTCACCCCGCAGAAGTTTACGTGTTTTAAAATGGATGCCAAGAGTATCACTTATACCTGTATCGGGCAATGCCGTTTCATGACGTGTGAGTTCGTCAGCCTTGCTATTTCCATCAAGGTCGGAATGGACATGTACCTAGATCAGGGGTTCCCAAACTTTATTCACCGCGGCATCCTTGTTGTGCTAAAAAAAAATTCGCGGCACCCCTACTCTTCAAATGTCTACCAAAACAAGAAAACACAGTGCAAACTTTATGCTCCTTTAGCTCTAGTGTGAGGACTGAAATTGTTTTGAAGATTTCATTATTTCCTTTTAGTTTATTGGGAGCTTTGACGATTTTACACTGAAATTGTTTGACGCTGACTTCACAAAAAGGAGAAGGTTAGCAATTCGTCGGAATATTTTTTTATTAATATTTATTTTTTTATGTATGTATGCTACCGCATAACTTTGGACCACATTAGCCGATTACTATAATCCTTTTTTAGAGGAAAGGGGTTGTCCTACAGGCGGTCCCATTCTAATTTGGTCTAAATCCGATCATTGCATTATGAAGAGATAACCGATAATCTTAAATTTGTATATGAATATTGAAGTCGGTTTTGTTTTTTGCTTAAAAATTATTTGTTTATTTTGTTTATTTGTTGAAAATGCAGTCTCACATAGAAATGTAAAAGCAAAAGTCACTAGTATTAGGAGCGTTCCTTATCTCCCAGAAATAGTCAGAAAAAGTCCGAAGTAGTCAGATTTAGTCCAAAAAGCGTTCCTTAACTCAAAAATGACAGCAAAAATGAGAGAGCAATAATCAGTGAGAGTGACTTTCATTAGTCCGAAGTAGTCAGATTTAGTCAGAAGAATTTTTTCTGACAAAATCCTGAAAAGTGTCAAACTCAACTGAATTTATCAATGTTATTGTGGCTTGTTAACATTTTATTTTTAATATTTTTATTGAGCTTTGTACCACGATTGTTTATTATGAAAAATTGAAGCAACAAAGTCTAAGCAGTAGAAGTTATAGCACTACTGAATTTAAATTAACGGAAATTAAAGAATATGCAAAATGTGAGAATAATCCAAAAAGTAAAACAGGTGAATTGAAATTGGAAGGAGGTAAAAAATAATTGATATATTAAGTGTTTATTGTGCTTATGCTTATGTGTATGTGTTTTGTACATACATTTCTATTCTTATTTGACGTTAGTTTTGTTGTTGCCATTCTTTGGACTTAAAATTTGGTTTTTTGCGTTCCTTTACTTTTTCCTTTACTTTTTTCGCTTACGCTCTGGCATTTTGACACTTTTCAGATTTTAGCCCAAAAAGATAAGGAATGAACCTATTTTTAATTGCAATCTTGCCAACAGCAGTGTTCTCTGCATACACTTGCATCCAGAACTCTCTTGGCTCCCTTCGTAATAGTAAAAAATGGATTTGTTATCCAGCACATACCATGTACATACATATCTGTGTTCGTATGGAAAAGTAGCTTATATCCAAAGGCTGGGCTCGAATCGTAACATCCGTTCACGGATCGAAAACGATACGAATGAAAATTACGAGATACGTCGGGCAGTATAAGCTGAATGGGACAAAGAGTACGTTCACGTACTATGTCATAATCCGAAAAATGTGTTTTTACGTGACGATCCGTACGATATCGTATGTGACGATTCGAGACCGGTTGCGAATGACTCGTTAGCGCTGAGCCGTTGTACAACTTTTGGCAAATAAACGTGCAAGAAATAGTTCCGATACTAGCAAGTCAATATTCTTATTAAGTCTCATCAAAAGATTCCTTGTCGTCTAAAGAATAAAGGGAATACCGCAATATACTAAAGCCAGCATTTCGACATAAGCTACTTTTCGAAACGAGCACAGATATGTATATATTTCATGGAAATTATCATTTAATCAAATTTTGAAAAAAGTTTTGTTTCTGCAGTGAAAACACGGCCATTCGTTTTGAATCTCGAGAAATGAAGAAGTTCATGAGTTCATGGATAAGAATGCAATATTGCTACGTGGTTGAGCCGTTTTTGGTGCATTGTCGAGCACAAATAATTTTTCACATTACGCAAAACATAAGAGCTCCTCTCGTTCGAGCATGAATACCCTGGAATTGTAACAAGTAATCTAATGAAGCGTACCATTTCAGGAACAAGTCCCACACACAATTTCACGCAAAAATTACACAGACATCTAGTTCAGAGTTCGGCGACATTGAGCAACCAATTTTTTAAGTCAGCGACATTTTCCCCAGAAATTAAATAGCCGCCTGGCTGTCAGTGAAAATGTTGATATCATGAATATGAATCGTATCACACTGTACCAGTGATGCGGCCGTTAAGATAATCATTAGATCCGCCCGATTACCACTGTAGTCATTAGGAAGGCAGAAGCTAAATGATATGCAAAATTATTCCGAGTAAACAGCTCTCTCAAGTTGAGAGAGAGAGTCTCAACACTGAACACTATTGTCGAGTTTTGATCCATCCATCCGTGTAAAACATCGTTTCTCGGGTAATAAGCTAGGTAAGCTAGTCGGTCCTATATAATAAGCCATTTAGAGCACCTTAGAACTGCTCGATTGCGTTTCGATGATAAGTCAAAGCCTGGATTGAAGTTGCATCCAGCGTAAAGCCAGGACTTTGCGCCGCCTTACATCCTCTTAAAGAGCCGCTGAAAATCAGTTGGCCAAGTGTTTCGCAGAAGTTCTACATCGATAAAATTATGAAGATACCCGAAAAATGGGAAAAGGTAATAGATAATAGTGATTAAGACTGATTTCCAATAAAGACATT